GGGGGGGGGATGAAGACACAGTAGGAAGTAGACGACAAATAAGTTAGCTGGCACAGGGGAGCACAATGCCACAATACTAGCGGTCACTAGGTGAAGGGAACAGGCACGCGCGATAGAGTCAGGTTGACACAAAAGAGGGACAGTTTTAGTTTTAGTGAGAGTTAATTACGGCACTTGCAACACAATACGGTCATATAAGTGAATTAAGTGCCGAAGATTAGGGATGTTACAAGAGAGTAACAAACATAAAACAGAAGGAGGAGAGAGCAGGACGATAGATGTTTGATAGGAAAGAAGGAGCAAACCACATCAGAGTACCCGCCAACCACCCACATAGACAGGTTGAAACAATAGAGGGAAAGGAAAGAAGAAGAAAGGCCTTCCAGTGACGCCCTCTAACCACCCACAAGAAAAAGAAGCCACGGAAAACAAAATACTTTATTTGGTTACAGAAAGTGTTTTACGGGACTTGAAACACAATTAGGTTATGATATAAGTGTCGAAGATGAGAGCAGCTGCTGTAAGTGAAAAAACAAACAAACACAAAATACAAGAGGAGAGGAAAGGCATGACGATGGATGTTTGATACAAAAGAAAGAGCAAAACACACCAGAGCACCCACTAACCACCCACGAGCAAAAATCAGAAAACACACAAACAGCCAGAGGAACACACAAACAAGATGGGTCCACACAGATCGCGACCTCAGAGCTTTCGAGTCATATCTCCTTTTTTTTTGGTGAAAACATTGAACATTTGACTTCTTCACTCTTTGTTTTCACAGTTGTTAAAAATGGAAATAGGACAAAAAAGCAGAGGTAGCGACAGATATTCACAATAATCTGAACAACGGGAAGAAAGAAAGAAAAAACCCAGAAGGAAATTACCTTGACCACACAGGGTGGCTCGTGTTTGCCCTCAGAAGAACTCTCCGCGCCAATCTCAGAAATAGAACTGTCCACACTCGTTTTCCTCCGTGAAGTGTCCAACTCTAACGCGAGTTCCTCACTAGCACTAACTTCTTCGTGTCTCGTGGGTCTTTTCGCAGAGTTCTCAGGGTCTGCAACAACGTTACTACCACTGTTGTTGTTGCTGTTGCTGTTGTTGCTGTTGCTGCTGTGTTCGTCCTGTACAGCGTCCGTCAGCCCGGAGGCAGTGTCGTGGGTGGTCGTCCCTTGTGAGCGGAGGAGATCTCCGGAACTGCTCTCGCCCGAGTTGGAACTTCCCGCGAAGCGATGCTCGCCAGCAGCCGATGACGGGCGTGGGCGTGCGGGCATGTACCTCTTGGAGGATGCGGAGGAGGCGAGCCGACCTCTCGCTGTCTCGTCCGCGACTCCTCGACTACCTCCTTCTTGCTGAGAAGAGGAATCGACTTGCGACGACGACGACGAAGAAGAAGAAGATGATGATGATGATGATAAAAGGGGCGATAAACTCTCAGGGGCCGACGCCAGAAACGGTGAGGAGGAGGAGGACGATGATGGAGATGATGATGATGGCGATGAAAACAACGGTGACTTTGTAGCGTGAGCGGCCTCGGAGAAGGCGGAAGAAGACGAAGAAGAAGCGGTGTTGTTGTTGTTGTTGTTGTTGTTGTTGTTGTTGTTATTGCCGTCAGCCAACACCGGCGCTGATGAGCCGACTCCTAGTGACGCCTTCCTTCTCTCAGCTAGCTTATTGTTGTTGTTGTTGTTGTTGTTGTTGCTGTTGTGGTGCTGCTGCTGGTGATGGTGGTGGTGGTGGTGGTGGTGACGGTGGCGCCCTCTCTCGGCCACCGGCATGTCAGCTCGGCTGTGGAAGTGGGAGACGTTGATCAGGATGACGTGGTGGGCCGGGGCCCAGATGAAGTACTGGCAGCGCCGGAACCCGCGGTAGTGGACGTGTACGGGGACGCTGGTCCGTGTCAGGTTGTACTGGCATTTGTCTGTGGACGACACACACACAATTACACAACTGTAAACACACACAGACAATTACACAAGTGTAAACACATGATATTGGGTCAGGTTGTACTGGCATTTGTCTGTGGACGACACACACACACATACACAATTACACAACTGTAAACACACACACAATTACACAACTGTAAACACACACACAATTACACAACTGTAAACACACACACACACATACACAATTACACAACTGTAAACACACACACACACACACACACACACACACACAATTACACAACTGTAAACACACACACAATTACACAACTGTAAACACATATCGACAACTACACGATTACACAACTGTAAACACACGATATAGGGTCAGGTCTGTGGACGACACACACACAATTACACAACTGTAAACACACACACAATTACACAACTGTAAACACACACACAATTACACAACTGTAAACACACACACAATTACACAACTGTAAACACACACAGACAATTACACAAGTGTAAACACACATACAATTACACAACTGTAAACACATATAGACAACTACACGATTACACAACTGTAAACACACGATATAGGGTCAGGTCTGTGGACGACACACACACAATTACACAACTGTAAACACCCACACAATTACACAACTGTAAACACACACCCACACACATACACAATTACACAACTGTAAACACACACACACACACACACACACACATACAATTACACAACTGTTAACACACAACCATACACACACAATTACACAACTGTAAACACACACCCACAATTACACAACTGTAAACACTCGATATTGAGCGCACACACACACAATTACACAACTGTAAACACACACACAATTAAACAACTGTAAACACACGATATTTGGTCACGTCAGACACCAAAAGAAAAAGCCTTATTTTGTTGTTGTTGTTGTTGTTGTAGCTGTTGTTGTTGCTGTTGTTGTTGCTGTGGTTCTGTTTGAGTAAAGATAAGTGTGAATTTTTTTTTTAAAGTAAGAGTTTTACGGCTTTTGTAAAGATATGTGGGGCTTTTAAAAGTTTAGTTTTAGTTAGCAGAGTTTTGCGGCTCTTGCAACACAATAAGGTCAAATAAGTGCCGAAGATCAGAGGTGTCACAAGAGTGGTTTGTTTGTTTTAGTGAGAGTTTTACGGCGCTCGCAACTGCATAAGATCATATGAACGCGCAAAAGGGAGTAACAAACACAAAAAAGAAGGAGGAAAGATCAGGACGATAGAATAGATGTTTGATAGGAAAGAAGGAGCAGACCACACCATGGCACCCGCCAACCCCCCACAAGGAGGAGAGATAAGGACGATTGATGTTTGATAGGAGAAAACCACACCAGAGCACCCGCCAACCACCCACTTTCTTTCTCTTTTTGTTTTTACCATTCCGCTTTTGTCAACACTAGTGGCAATAAATTGTTACGCTAGAAAATAGAGCTTCTCTCTATCTCAAAGAAAAAGAAGAAGAAGAAGAAGAAGAAGAAGAAGAAGAAGAAGAAGAAGAAGAAGAA